CCCCCCCCCCCCCCCCCCCCCCCCCCCGGTATTTTCTTATTGCACCCCCACCCTCTGTGCACCCCTGCGATGCATGACAACAGCAGTAGGAAAGCAGGGGAGAGACCCGAACTGTTGTTTGTCACCCTCGGACGTTCCTACCAGACTAGCTAGCAGAGAGGTTCATAGGGACAATTGCTGTTGTTTGGGGTTTTTCATGTCGTCCCCTTCTCGGAGATTTTTTTCCTTTCTTTCTAAGGTCGCGGCCGCGTCGAGAATAAAAAAACATGTCTGGAGTGACGACGCTCCCCTTGTTCCTTTTAACGCTCTGTGCTTGCTGTCGAGTTGTGCTGCCGTGCGTACCCGCAAGCGAAACAACAGCAACAAGCCGGCGAGAACTACACGACTAAAGACAAGACATCCAAAACACACCGCACGGAAGCAATAGACCGACACCCAAAACACACCGCCACACAGGTGAAGGATTTCTACCGGTTCTGGGAGGGGCACCAGGAGGCGTGGGACGGGCCGGCGCTTCTGGTGTGGAGCGACGGGAAGCGCGTGGGGGCCTGCCTCGACCGCAATGGGCTCCGCCCCGCCCGTTACATGACCCTCAAGGACGGGACGGTGCTCATGATGAGCGAGACTGGCGTTGTCCCCGTCGACGAGGCTGAGGTAAGAGAGGCGTTTTTTTCTCGTTGGTTGCGAAAACGACAATCCGGTCGGACGAGGTACAGTAGGACATGGTTGTTGTTGTTGTTGTTGTTGTAAGACGTTCCGGTCTCTGCCCTGCGCCTTCCGCTGGCCCAACTGACGCGGACGCTAGCCACTCGAAACAACACACAATTCCATCCCAAACAAAGGACCCAGAAATAAACCATTTCAAACGCGAAACTAGAGAAAAAAAACGGAACAGAATAAGCAAAGCTCTAAATACGAAGGGCCGATGATGTGTTGGTTGGGTAAGATGTGCAGGGGTTAAAAGGGAACGTGGACCATGCAAAGTAGCGGACCCAGTAAGAGGGAGGCCTGCTATTAATAGCGACGAGTCTGCAGGAGTGGAGTGTGGATCGTCCATCTGTTCTCAGCAACATTGATCCGGCGGTAGATAAGGCGTCCAGGGGGGGTGCGCGCGAGAGAGAAAGGGCCGGGGGGGGGGGGGGGGGTATGGCGTCAGGGCCTCGGCTGGTGTTCCATGTCTTGACTGGTTCATCTTTTTTACATATTTTGGCGCCTCAAAAGTGCAATGACCTTCCGCAATTGGAAGTGTTCATTCGATTCCTCTCCCCTGCTTTGCCCCGCAATATTGTTGCTGCTGCCATTACGAAACGCGGCTGAATGGAAAACCTACCACGAAAACTGAAAAAAATAGGGCTCCACAGAGACTGAACAAAACGGGGCTGCAAAATTTCTACTGTGACGAATGCCTCCGTACACATTGTTAATATGTCTTCACTCAGTGCCAGGCAAAAGGACAAAGGCTTATGTTTTTACATTTCACGGAGAACAAAAAAGAACGTCGTATGTACTGACCGAAAACAGGTTACGAGCAAGGGCCGTCTGGGCCCCGGCCAGATGATCGCGTGCGACCTCGTCAACGGTGGTTTCGAGGACAACTGGTCTATCAAGCAGAAGGTGGCGGCGGGCCGGCCGTACGGGGACTGGCTTGCGCAGCACACCAAGGTACAGTCGGAGGGGTCCCTATGTAGTGCGGGTTATGTAGGGTGACCTGTCTAGTACGGGTGAAATTGGCTGGCACGCATGGAATAATCAAGATGGCTAATACATTGAATACCGGGTGAAGGCGCTTGGCACAAAATGGGCCCCCGATTGTAACTGTAATATTGTGATTGCACGGCGTGCATGGCCGTGTGGTTTGTGTGTGTGTGTGCGATGAGGAAATCGGCTCGACTGCGCGACAAACGTGGAGTTGCAGTGCTTCTGAAGGGCGTGTGCGTGTCTTTGATGTTAGCAGCGACCGCACTTACCAGCTGAGCAATGAAATGACGTCAGTCTCAGTTGCGGCTGAAAGCAGAAAATACTTCTAAAGGCCATGATTTGGGACACAGGGAAAGGCGTCATGGAAGAGGGTAGGCTGTTGTCTCCGGAGTGTAGAGAGAAACGCTAGCAGATGAATATAATCGCAAAAGAAAAAAGCGTAAGGTGTACAAACTTACGAAACTTGACGCCCTTGCGCCGCCGTTTCGGTTGTCTGTCTGCGCGCAGAGGGTGGAGCGGCAGCCGTTTTCGGTGGAGGAGGACGCGAAGAACGATGACCTGCTCGTCCCCCACACGTACTTCGGCTGGAGCAGCGAGGACGTGGACATGCAGGCGAGAACGCCAACGAAATCAGGAGTAGTACTTAACATCACTCCGTAGTCGAGAGAAACTGTATGTATGCGATCGGACTCCTCCGGCGAGAGAAGGCGGAGTGGTGTTGATATCACCCCGCCGACGAGAATGCGAGCGAAATTTGTACCACTCATGATAGCATTGCGCAAGTCGAGATAAGAGCGCTTTTGTCCATTCCCTCCGACGCTGGTCGGTCGATTTGGTGTAGGCTCGTTTTCTTTTTTTCTCGAAAATAGCTCCAGAACCACACGCCCTCGGTGGAGCGTCGCGAAGGACTTATAGCCTCTTCCTTTGAAACGTTTCGTGCGGTATGTTTTTGGAGGCGTTTTATCGTCGATTTCGATGCGTTTTCCCCCACGGTTTCAGTTGCGCGGTGTTCGGCATACTCTAGTACAACAGGAGAAGTTCCGTGGTGGCGTGAATTCGACGTGCTTTCCAAGGCGTTGCGGTACACAAGTTTGTTGAGTTTCAGGCTCGTCATCCCCTCCGTGATGCCAACGAACCGTTTTATTGGAGAGCAGATCGCCGACATGGCCCAGAGCGGGAAGGAGAGCACGTTCTGCATGGGAGACGACATCCCCCTTGCGGTCATGTCCGAACAGCCGCACGTCCTCTACGACTACTTCAAGCAGCGCTTCGCACAGGTGTGTGTCTTTTTTTTTTTAATATTATTAGCATCGACCGTGCTAACCGGCTGACCAATGAAAATACGTCAGCCTCAGTGCGGTTGGAAACAAAATGTGCCTCTAGTGGCCACGATCTGTGACCCTGTGAGGGGGCGTCATGGGGGAGTCTATGCTACTCTCCGGATTAAGTTGTGTGTGTGCGTGTTTATTATTTGGATCAATCCCGCTAACCGGCTATAACCAATGACATGACGTCAGACTGCTAGGGAGACAAAAACAGAAACAAGTTTTCTACCCAAAATATGTGTGTGTTCTTAATTTACTCGCCCATGCTAACCGGCTGACCAATGAACAGACGTCACTCTCCAGTGCGGCTAAAAACGGCCGGTGTGTGCATGTTGTCAGTCAATGAATCACCGTCGCCTGCATCGTACGTATCTCCAGTGATCACCCATGTTTTGCATGCTGTTGGTGGCACGGGGTGGTGTATTAGCAACTGCGCACATGGCTACTTAGCTTCGCACACGGTCGAGCAATTTCCTACCGTTGTCGTCACACCCGTGTTTTTGGGTTTCTCGGTTGTTCCGTTTTAGTCTGTTTCAATCAATCGCTCGCGGCTTCTTGCTATCCCTGCCGTCTTGCGTACCGTAGCTGCGGATTTCTCTCCTTTCCGGAGTTGGTTTCCCATAAGATTTGACTCTGCGGTGCCGCTGTTGTTGTTGTTGTTGTCGGGGGTTTCATGCACGATACTGTACGGTATCCCGCATAGCAGGATCATCGAAGGGCACTACCATTATGCACAAAGCTCAGTCGCGGACAGACCGGCGAGCCTCCGTTGTTTCGTTCCACTCACAGAGTACAGATGACACTACTTAAAAACACTACTCCAACACTATTTAAACACCGATTCCGCTCCATGTACTGCTGTAGTAGATAACCTCATTGAGAAACCCACCCCGCGTGCTCGTCACGACTTGACAAGTCATATGTACCGCCCGACTCGGTGCATAAACACCCCC